TATTATCTGAGTGTGGGTCACTGGCTACATTATTCAGTACTACCCTTGTAGCATCATCTGTAAAGTATAGAAAAACCTCTTCAACACAGCTACAACATGAGACGACTCATTATCGCTACATGATAAGACTGCTCATAGCTTCGACATGATATAACTACGAGCTGGTGTTTCCACGAAATTTCTTTTTAAGCATAGTTGGGTGTGCACTATCCAAGAAGCCAAACTTTATGATATGACCTGCATTGGAATATGATAAGACACTCGCACCAAGTGTCGTCAAAATCAGTCAAGAATTGTTTCTTCAGGAGTGTTAACGAGCCATTGTGGACGGACGGGTGGACATAAGTAACATACGCCTATATGAAATGGGGTTTTACATCCATGATATACATATTTATCTGAATATTAAACAAATACATACATGGATAATACCCTTTGAATCTGTTCTTTTTGTGGTTTTCTGGTATATGTGAGATATCGTAACTAGAAGAGAAGTTATCTGTCAATCCCTAAATAATAGATTTAAATATTATAATGTTTATAACATGTTTTTTTTTTTTTTTGTACTTGATTTGTTTTAAATGTCAAAGTAGGTCTACCATATTTGCTATGCTGCTGATTTAAACATTATCTGATAATTGACATTTATATTTAAATTCTGACCAGAAAAGACATAGCGGATCAATATAGCCATGTAAACGCAGAAGGCTTGAGTCATGCATATATCAGTCGTGATGTCGATATTGATCGTTTTGTGTAATAATTATGTTTGGGGATAGAAGAGATATGCAGACATGGTAACAGAAATAAAGCAATCTGTTCTGGCACTGGTACCTTATGTAATGGATCGAAACCGACGTTCAATTTAGTCTTCTTTACAAACTCTTCCAATTCTGTCAGGTTTAAATCTGATTTTTCTGGCATAATTTTGGGACTGATTTCAGCTTCTTCAGCCTTTAATTGAAAGATATTCCGGAAGATATGCAGCTTCGGATTCGTGTACGGTTACAAATGGTTGTAGGGCGTCAGTTGGTGAAAAAGGTTCCATCTGGTTAACTCTTCGTAGTGGTTTGACTGCTTCGTCTCTTATTACATCAAAGTTTTCATATATAGGACCTGAAACATGTGTGCGGATCGTCCAGATAAATTTAAATTTACAAAAAGGGTTCTTTGAACTAGCAAACAATGATGTGGCTTAAATTGAACCCTAAGTAGGATAAAAGACCGGGAAAGTAGAGAACAAGGAAAGAGAGTTAGTTGGTAGAAGAGAGAAACGAAAAGGACAGTTAGCTGAGGGAAATGGCGAGAAAGTATAGGCAGACAGAGTACAAAGAGGAACGGCGATGGGGTAAATGGGAAGAAACGGAGTTAGGAATTCGATTGGAAGGGTGATGGCAGAAGCAGCTAGACGGTTTTTAAGAAGAAAAGAAAATCGTTTGAGGAAAGAGACAGGGGAGGGGTAAGTCGTGTGGAGTAGAGAGTTTGGGTCATCAAGGGAAAAGTCAGTCGGCGGTGGGTAGATAGATAGATTCAAAAGGGGGTATGCTCCAATATTGAGGTGCCTATTGACCTCCATTTAAACCTTCGAATTACTCTACTCCGAAGACTTATTATGGGTCACGTTTTCCATCTCCCATTTAGGGGATTTCTAAGATTTCCGAGTGTTTCCTAATATTTAGTGGATTTAGCAAAATTCTCATGATACGATTGGATTCGCAGATCAACGTGATAAATTTTAATTTGGCTAATATTGGATCGCAAAAAGAGTTCTATGTGGCTACGTTCTAAAAAGATGGTCATCGAGGTTTCTTGAAAATATTATCAAATAGTAACAAAATAACTCGAATTAAGAAGGCCGAAATTCACTGGATATAGGTCACGACTTTAGTATAGTGTAAAGGGTAAAACCTTGTAGTGGTATTATTGGAATTCTCGATTATCTTGTTTTAATATAATTATAATTGGTCTTGTCTGAACTAATGATCTACTATAAACAGTTGGCTATTGGCCATATTTGCCTCTATGGTCAATATGCACGAAAAGTGTAAAAAATTATTTTCTTTTCTATAACTGATTTTTGAGTGCTGTTTTTTTTGACATGTCCAGATAGTCCATGTGGATAATGCTGGACAATTTCAGCCTTGTAGCTTTGTGAGTGTTCACGCACAAAATTTTTTTGTGTTTGAGCACTTCTTGTGCACCAATATGCAGACTGGAAATGGCTACTTACTTCCCTTGAAATATTAGTCTAATTAAGAAAGATTTGCAGTTCCAGATTGGAAAGATATGTTCAAAGATACCCAAATTAAAAAGGACTTCCAGAACCCACCCGTATGTGCATATCCACATTTACTGAAAATCTTACCGGATGATCATTACAACTAAAACAACTAGAATGATGATTAGAAGAACACAAACGGAAACACAGGCCGCTATAATGATTTTGTCTGCATTTTCTGAAATACAAGTTAAACTTAAAGAAAACGGTTCACAGCAGTCCGGTGTCCTTTCAGTGGAATCGCTAGTGAGGATACAGGGGGTACTTAAAACCAATTAAAACCAATTATTATATTAATACGGGGGACCTAAGGAACATAGGAGACGATAAACGATATTTTGTAGTCCGTCAAAAGATTTCTTTTGGAGACGAACGTGTTCTTTGTACATTTCTTAACCAATGGTAAAAGTTGATTAAAAAAACGAGCATATTATTGCGAAGAGATTAACTTTTAGTAAAAATAAGGTCAATTGCACCTTAAGGAAAAGATAATGTAATTCGTGATTTTCGTATTTTCAAAAGTTCCTCATTGTATCTAGAATCCATTAACGACCCTGTTACAATTTTAGAAAAACGCTTTTCAACCTATTTAAATTTAACCAAACTAACCTTTTGTGCAGGGTCAACAGAAGTGTTTCAAATTACAAGGTGGAACCTTATGCAGTAATTAAGTTCAAAATTTTACCTTGTGTACAATCTATCGACTGGTATCCTATTTGACATCCATCAATACATTCTCCTGTTTTACTCTCACATTGTAAATTACTATCTTTACATTTTCTATCTGAACATTTCTTTCTACATCCTGCTCCATAAACACCATCTTCACATCTTTTAACGCAGACAATTCCCCCAAAACCTTCTTTACATCCACCTATACAGCTACCACTGATATGATTACATAGTGATGTTTCTACTGAACAATTTCTATCTGAACATAGTTTATCACATCCAGCACCATACTTCCCTTTTTTTACAGACTACACAAGGTGAAAAAGAATAAATGTTTTATATTTTTAAATGTTATACATAATTAGATTATTGACAAATATCAGTGATCTTCGTGTCTACTCTATAGAACAAGAAGCGATAACTGAATTGTATTGCTGTATACACTTGTAAGCTTGTGTCTTTAAACTTGTTACTTAACTGTCCAAACTAAAAATATTCTACTGAATTTTATTCATATTTGAGTGCTGAACCAAACGTTCCTACTGAGCACACTGAAATCATACAGAGATAAAATATTTTATTCTGTGTGCACTCTAGAAAATAAAACCAATTGTATTGACATCGATATGCATTAGAGACTCGGTTCATGGAGATTAAGCACTTTTAGTCTCAGACTTTTTCCCCAAACCAAAATATATGTTTCACCATGGTTTTATTGAATTTAATTGTGTATTTCCTAATTATAAGTATTTGGTATATACACTTGAGAATGGAATTAATTGAACAAATAATATGGTTTTATCAGAAAAACTCTGTTATATTTGTTTATCTTAAGGATTAGTTTATTAGTGTTAATCTCAGGATATATCTGCACTATTTATCAAGATTATCGGTAAGTCTTTATCGAAACTGATTTTGATAACATATCGTACGTTAAGGCGATTGCGCTTGTGTAGCATTGTAGGGGTTGTTCCTGTATTTAGTTAGTCAGGGAGTGTCTAGCTGGTCTGTACTGCAGGATGTTTGCATGTAATTTAGAAGAAGTGATCAAATCTTACAATTAACCAAAATATATTGAATCACCACTTATTTATACTTATCATTGCATAATAGTCCTCATGGGTGTTTTTATTCTTCATTCAATCATGTAACATGGATCAACGTTATGAGCTTACTGTTTGTCACCAGTTGTTATATTACACAAGATTACAGGAGCTAGTTTATTAGTTTAGGAGTATATATACCACGGTTCTTACGACTTAACTACTTAAATGTATTCTGAGGGTATACAACTGAGGCGACACCATTTTATGTAAGCAATATTTTGATATATATCATGTTTTTAATATATAAACTAAGCTTACCATAAATCTCTACTTCACAAAAAACTAAATATTTGGCATGTGGATGAGGATGAAAATTACTGATAGTAATATAACGACCAGTTATAACCTGACTACACTCTATATTATTGACACTATATTTAGTGTATATGGTATCTTTATAACATATTCCTGGTTCTTCATTTTCCTTTTTAACGTGTAGGGAAATTCCATTAAATGATGTTAAAGCTGAAAATATATTTTGGGCAACAATAATATACTTTTTTGTGGACCCGTGCCTCGGTTATTCGCTTCTATTTTCTATTGCATTGAGAAAATCGCATCATACACGTTAACGACATTGAGTCCGGAGTATAAAGAGAATAAGTCAAAAACCAGTGCGATCGGCTATCCGTATGATATTATTTTGTGTTGAAGTCGATCCGTTGTTTTCTTTCAATATTTTAACTTATATAACCTTTCTACTCACTCCAGCTAGTTGAAACACAACAGAAAATTTTCATTAAAATGTTAATTATTATTTTATATTGTGTGATACTATGAATGGTTTCTTTTTTTTTACTAATTTCTCAATTAAAGATAGCTTGCCAGGCAAGGTAACATACGCCCACTGGCAGCTGTCAGAAATGATAAAACACTCTTTAGGGACTTAAGTATGAATTTTATTAGTATGAATTTTCTCATATTAAATAAATTTAATATTAATATCAATAACCCAAATACATCAAATTATCGTATCAATATACATGATAACACCATGTTTCATTAAAATCAGTCTCTAATTTTGACTTCACGTTTAAATTCGCGTGAAATTCTCAACAACCACCATCCTTCTTCTATCAAACTAACCGCAAACGTGAGTGACAAAAGCATAGACTTTCTCGACGTTTCTTCTATGTATACCAATATCGATAACACTGGTCTAACGGCAGTTCGTAAAGCTTTTAATAAAAACCCAGATCCAAACAGACCCGACGAAGGAGCTCTTGTGCAAGAGTTGATGAGTATCTGTTTCTTTGAAATACACTTTAATATCCAGTTTATTTGTTTCTGCTATGGAATCTCCCTTAAAGACAGTGGTATGATAGAAATTAAAATAGCATTAGAGGGAACTCGAAGATTTTTTTATTTTATTGACAAAATCGGTTGTGTCTTTAAGGTAGGCGCGATGTTGGCATGCTAGAGGTAGTAAGAAATGATCAATGTATTCTGACACTGCATATGATTCACTACCACAGTCAGATATAATCGGGCGGCCTTTAGGGATTTTATACGAGATAAACCACTCCTTGGTTGGATACTTATGGATTTTAGGCAAAGTGTACAAATGTCTCTCGCGACAATCAGGTTTGGCAGACAGATAGTCATATTGTTTCTGTTTGAGATAACTAGTTTTGACTAAATCGGCAAGAACATTATTAATCATGTTAGCAGTTTCTTTGAAAATTGGTTTCGGTAAAATGGCATAATGTTTAGGATTATTCAGTTGATTCTCTGCTTCTGAAACGTAATCCTCCCTATTCAGAATGACACAACATGAACCTTTGTCACTCTTTTTAATAACAATGCTATCGTCTTTCTTAAATAAGTTTAACGCTTCACGTTCCACTCGTGTGAGATTAGGCTTTTCGTGTGTTATTGAAAGGTTCGCTATTCATACTCGCAAATGCTTTCAATATTTCAGGATGGACGGCGGCCTGAGAGGATGTCCACGTGGATTTAGAAATAAACACTGTTTATGGGTGGTTTCGAAAAAAATATGTGCAGCTAAGATTTCGTTGAAATCGTTCAATGGATGGTCGGAGATAATTCAAGTTAGCTATCTTTGGTGTCGGAATAAGATTGAATGCTGAAGGGGTGTGAGAATTTTGCGGCTCAAGTTAACTACAGTTTGGCCTAGCGGTGGCCTCTCAATATTTATCCCCAGTAATTAGTTTAAAGACTTACTCGATGCTTGGAGCTGGTGTATCAAAAACAAATAAATGCTGTTTGCTGTTTCTGGAGACCAATGAAGATTATCAACTGTTTCGAATTCTTCTTCGTAGGGTGGTAAGATTGTTGCGCTGTTGATACTGGACTCCATCATCATGTTGTTGAGAGTGCTGAGGTTCTGTTGTGCTTTCTTCGAGATTTTATTTGAAATGGGTATACATGTGAAGAGGATCTTGGAGTTTGGGAAGGTTTTGTTGGCTGTGGCGAATAATTTCTGGGCTTGGTTAAAGGAGGTGTTTGGTAGCTGATTACGGTTGTTGAGGCCTACATGAAGAATAATGGTAGTAGGTTTGGGATCATGGTCGTATGATTCCAGGATTGACTGTATGTGATGGGTGTCTGAACTGGTTTTGATAATTCGATTCAGGTTAGATGATCCAATTATTAAGGTAGATTTCTTTAGAGCAGGTAGCTTCCATAATGATTTGTCCTTGGTTTGGTGATAATACGGTTTGGTAGCGGATATAATGGTCGTCGACGATGTGATTGGTACTGGTTTGGTAGTTGTTAGAATTGTAGCATTGGGAACGGACTGGGATCTGGTTCGAGGGGAGAAGGTCTGGATACACGCCTCGACTTGGATGGAGACTGAGGGGTGGTTTGCTGGTCCAAAAACGCACAGAAGGAAGAAAGGTTGATGGATCCTCGATCACGTGGTGAAGATTCAGATGATGTGGAAGGGGAAGACGAGTCTGAAAGTGAAAAGAGAAGGGGAGTGCCCTCTCTACGAGAGCGTTTACCTATGTCTGCTGGACTAGGAGTAGGTGAACTTCGGGCTCGTTTAGGGGTTTGGTTCGGCAGCGTGGTGTCTCTAGATGGTGCAGGTGTAGTGTCCATTTCAGTTGGTAGAGATATGATTACTCTGGTTTTTGTTTCATTGATTGTTTGGTAGAATTTGGTGATTACAGCTTGAGTGAGACGTTTCCCATAGGAGCGACGGGCCCAGGACAGGGCATGAGAAACGATGCGGTCGACGGCAGGTGATGATAAAAACTTGGTACGAATGGTGGTCAGCTTCTCTTGAAGTGTAGTTTGGTAATGGTCGATCAGGACCTGCGTAACCTTAGACAGCCATGTCCGATTGAGGGATCTAATATTCGCATCAACAGCTGATGTTTTCATTGCTGGACGGATAAAACTATCCATATCAGAGACATTGCGTTTGAAGGTAAACGCTGGTTGGCCTTGCTGTTGAAGGGTAAGGATTGCCAAATGATGGAGGCAGTGCAAAACTTGGAAGAACACCTTCACAAAGGGTAGTCGTTTCTGTTGTTGGTCAGGTCGATGGTTACCTCTTGATTGGTAGGCTGTGTTGTAGGTAGGTCGGCGATGGGGTGGGATATAGCTGGATGGGTTGGTTGGTGGTCGGCGATTGGTAGGTGGTAGAGGTCGATGGAAGACAGGGCCGTTGTAGGGTACGTGATATTGGTTTGGTTGACGATTAGTGTTTCTATGTCTGGCTTCTTGCCAGTGGTTGTTGTAGTTGGGGAGCATAATGAAAATAACTTGAGGTTAGAAAGGGAATGTACAGCGGATGTAACAGGAGGAAACAACTGTATATGCTAGTGTGAAAATGTGGGGATCAAATTATGCAAATAAGTCAAACTGGGTTTGGGGATATATAAAGCAAGATGAAAAATGCAAAAATATATATTTAGGTGATAAATAACGCTAACAATAATGTGAAAAATTATAACAAGTAAAACAAAAACTTACGCAATTGACACGAACCGGTTTTCGAAATATTATCCTTTTTCAAGTGTCGAGGAATGGTTATGGTTGTTTTCGTACTTGCTAAAAAAAGTATGAGTTTGTGTCGAGTACTCTGTAGAAACGGTAATAGTTACTGCAAGATTAGCAATGCATTGGATCTGCATATTCGGTGTTTTAACTAATGAATATAAATTGGAACAATTTTGCTAAACGGATAGTGGCACATTGCAAAATGTCCAAAAAGTAGATAATTGACTCTTGAAGGCGCAATTTTGGAGCGATTTTGCTCGGGTTTTCAGTTTTAGAATTTCACCCGAATATCCTGTGATAGCAGTTAAAAAAATTCGAATTTTGAAAATTCATAGCACACATTTTTTAGCCGAATTTCGCAAAATTTGACCAAATTCGATATTTTCTCCGCTATGCGTCCGATTGATTTGAAATTTCTGGTGGGAAAACAGATCACAAAAGAAAACAAATTGACACAATCAAAAATTTGGCATCACTTCCGGTTGGTGCGAAATCAAGGTTCTAGCTTCCGGTTGACCCACTTCCGTTTTTTATGTATGAAGGTCACTGAAACTTATACTAATAAGTAGATAACGTTATGACTTTAAAAAACAGAGGCATTTACTAGACACGAAAGAAGCGCCATATTTTTGATTATCCAAAATTTTATTCAGAGATTAGGCTTATCCGATTTTGATAATTTTGGTGTCAAATGAAAGAACACAAAAATTTAAGAAAACTCTAAGAAGCCGATTTTTGAATTTCGTTTTTCCTTTTTTGCAATTTCCGGTTCAATTTTTCGAAATTTGAAGGCTCATATTTCGTGACCTTGACCTTTGAACTTCATATTTACCATGATGATAATAGCTGACCTTGACCTTCTTTTGACCTTTGGGGTCAAACCACACCGTTTGGTTTTATAGGGGTCTAAATATGGCCAATTTTGCACTTTTGCAGTGCTGTATCTTAATCCCTAATTGTATTAGCATCCTACCACCTTCAGATTATTAATGTACTTATTTAATGGTTTCAAATAATATTACACTTGATGATGTCAAAGCCATATTTAAAAAAGTTGTAATTTTCATAAAACTTTGAACGCTTCTATCTCAAGAGCTGTACCTTGGATGATGTTGATATTTACAGTAATAATTAATACCGACTACAGTTTGTAGATGATGTTAATATTTGTCATGTCCGACACGTGGTTCTGGTTTTATGGTTGTCACTAAAAGTTGAGTTTGCATCTTTAAAGCCTTCTAACAGGTGACTTAATAAAGATAGAGCAATATTTTTCGGATTCATAATGCTGAGTTCCTGAGCTTTCCAGTGATATATAACATGTATGCCTTACATGTGAATTCAAAATCCCATTCACTTAACATGGTGTAATTACTGTAGTCTAAATACGCTGTCATCGGTCTGTCAACTCTAATTAAAATCAAAATGCCACACCCCCTTTTATATTTGTTTAATATATTTTATGTTCCGCTACAATTTATAAATAAGCCCTGGGATGGATTGAACCATGTTATACTATAATTTGAGCTTACGGAAGGACCTTAAAGGTATACCCCCACTTAATTCCCAACTTTCTTATTTCTTATCCAAATTTCACCAAACTTGGTATGTATGTGTATAATCCAATTCTAAATTTGATGGAAATATTGAATTCTTCTTGTGCGCATGCACATTCATATTTTCATTTAGAGATGCAGAAAAGTATTTACATCAATGTAATTGCAATAGACCATCTTCGTATGTACCTGAATGTCGTAACACACCCTGCATCAATACTGTTATTAGAACAGTAAAAATTTTGCCACTAACTTTGTACTGAATTTTTATTCGATTTTGACGTAACTTGGAAGATGAGTAAAGACCAAATTATCAATAATGATTACACGAACATTTTCCAAAATAATACGGAAAATGGTCGGAATCACCGAAAATCATAAAAATCAGACTTTTCGGACTCTATTTTTGAAAAACTCGTAATTCCACAAAATTTGTACCATCAATATCATTTTGTACCTTTGCCGTGTATGTAAATTCATAACTGTTTATCTGCCATCTTGAAACATGGGAAAAATCTTTAATGTATATAGACTACATTTTTTTATAATCCAATTGTTCTCAAACTTGTTTCAAAATGTAAGTAAGAATAATACCTAGGTCCTCTAGAAGCCCTATTTTAATTTCTACTTAGATTTTGCACAATTACCTGTCAAAGTTAATTCTACCAAGCCACATTTCCATCAGTGATAACTTTGCCCACGAGCTCCACAC